CATCATCTGTCATTTTGGTTAAGAATGCAAGCCGACTGGCTTTGTTCAATCACAACCTGCCAGTACCTTTGCTTCTTCAACTAAAAAAAAAAAAAATGAAAATAATAGTAGTATCTGGCTCATAGGGTTATGTGAAGTTTAAATGGTATAATAAATGTAAAACGCCTAGCAAACCTCCTAGCACACACTAAGCAGAATGTCTAATGGTTTAAAAGGGTTTCTGAAGTGTAGAGTCAAGTGTTGTAGTTCTTTCTTATTTCAAGTACTTATGTCTATGAATGATTTGCTTGATCTGCCCCCAGCACCCTGCCCACCTCTGCCCCTGACTTGTCTTTTTTTTCCCTGATCACTGAATTCTTAGCTCAGTTTTTCACTTACTGATTCAGATTGCTTAGCATATCCTCTGTATCTTTCACTGGCTATTGCCTGTACTACATGTATTTGCATTTAATTATATGTTATTGTAGTTTATGTGGGTGTGGCTTTGCTTTTCCATCTATACTGCACTTTGGGAATTTTGATGTACATTAGCATATTATTTCTTTCTCCAAAATTTTCCTAATTTTTACCTTCATTCCTCCACTCAACACACAGTTATATTTATTACTGTTCATTATGTTTAGGACCTTGGAATATATAGAAGCAACCAAATAGACAAAATTTCTGGATCTGGCTTCTAGTTGAAAGAGACGGACAATAATCAGTCAAGTAAATAGATAATATGTCTAAAGGGAGTGTTTGGAACAGTGGTGCTATTTTTGCTATTTAATACATTAAGTCATTTAATGAAGACCTAAGGAAGGTAGGGAACAAGTTATGTAGAACTCTAGGGGAAAAAATTTCAGGGAAGAAATAGCAAATACAAACTAACTGAGGCAAGAGTATCCCTGACTTGTTGGAAGCACAGCTAGAGGACCACAGCCTAGAGCAGAGTAAAGTAGAAGAGAGGGGTGGGAGGTAAAGTCAGAAAAGCATTAGGGGACCAGATTCTATAGGGCCGTGTTGATCACTATCAGCATTATGCATTTTCTTATGAATTAAATAGAAGGCTTAAAGTTGTTGATGATCTGATTTAAACTCTAAAATGTTCATTCTGCTTATTGTGGGAAGAATGGACCTGGCTACAAGGGTCAAGGGCAGAAGCCAGACACTCTCAGAGAATCTCAATAATCCAATTATAATGACAATTTAATTACTACATTTTTCACTTCCTGTTCTGCATGACGGCTGTTCATGCACATGCTTTATCATCCTTGCTAAATTATAAATTCTGTATAGGCCAGGATTCCAACAAATTTATATTTGTAGACACTAGACTTTTTAAACCAAGAAAAAAAATTTTGGTACCCAAAGAGTACAAAAATAAATTGCTATCTTGCTCCTCTATTTGGCTCTCACCCTCCACCTCATCGTGCCCTACGTAGCTTCCCTCCTTAAAAAATTTCTTAATACAGCATACACATGTAAAGCAATACTCTTTGTATTGTAAAGGAAAAAATTAGGATGAAGGTGGAGAACAAAAAAGAGGTACAGAGGAAGAAGACATAATTATTATTCTGAAGAGATCTTTATAATGACAAAAATAAACAACAACCACACATACATACACTCGTGTATGTAAATGTTTGGCCTATTCACATATTCTATATAGTCATCTCATACTGGACCTTTAAACTACATGTATTTTCTATATGATTTCATAAAATAGCCATGCCTACATAGACTTGCTATTCAAAATTTGTAAAATTCCATGTATGGTAATTTGGATTATTTATGTTCTAACTTAATAATGTAGTTTGAGAATAATTCTACAAAATTTCCAAAAGGAAAATATTTTTTTTTCTGATTGTCATGCAAGAGTATTACTAATGTGTATCTTGAAAAACTTCGAGTTGGGAACAATGACTATTACAAAGTATAGTTGTCGAAGTCAAAGAGACATAAATGACACCTTTTTAAATTTTTTTCTTCATGAAGAAGTTGAATTCTATTCTTCTGCGGCAACCTATGTCATGCCAGAATTGAGGAACAGTGCTTATACTAAGACTACTGGTTAATCTCTGCAGTCTTCCTAATACCCCCAAAATAAAGGTAAAGCTGCTCTTGCCTCTAGGGAAGTGGAAATGCCCAATCGAGCATTCTAAATTACACTTTCATGGTAAAATATCCGCTAATAATTAATTTTCTGCTTCCTTTAGACTAGGACAGGTTAAGCAGTTGGTCACATTCAGTAAATAAGAAATTACTTGCAGTAATTTCTGCAACATTCTAATCATTTTCCCATTTCTGAAACCTAGTTTAAAAGTCTTTGATCTACATTACAGTGGAAAGGACGTTGAATGTGAAAAGAGAATGCTGGATTATGAATTCAACATTGGTACCCACTAATGTCGTGGCTTAGGCCACTCAATTAACCTAAACATCTTCATTTATTTCTTAGTGATCAGGAGCTTTGCAATCTATACCTCCAAAGAGTTGTTATGAACATGCAATAGAAAACATGCAAAGGCCATAGATGCAGAGGTCACACAAAAACACTTCATGAAACGAGATACTAAATGACACACTAGAATTATTACAGTCCTTGCAGTGGTGTTTCAGAGCTCTATCCTGTACCAACACAAATGTGATCTTGTGAAATGGGAAATATGCCCCCTCTATCTGCTTTCTGCATGTTATTTAGAATGACAACATTCTGGAATTATTTAATTATATCATTAAAGGGGGTTTTATTTTATTTATTAAATACATAAGGACAAGCTTTTCCATTAACAGTGACCTTTACGACTTCTGTTTGAGATTCTGTAGATGGTAAAGCTGACTGCAAATTAGATTCTGCAATGTACCTTGTTCCTTACTTTTTCACCCACTGATTAGTTTCATACAGTTGACAGCAGCCCACCCTGTTGCTTTCAGCTTGCAATTTTGTAGCAATCTCAAACACTGTGTTCAATCCCCCAAGGTGTTCTGTGGAAATGCTGTCAAACTATTTCTATGTATGTGTGTTTTCATTCTGTAGCTGTGCTTTGTGCTCATTTAAGAAAACCAGTCTTTAATTTGTAACAGAACATTTTCAAGATGAAAAAGAATTCCAGGCCTCAGCAAAATCACTGGCATATGACCACAGCCTTCTTCTGGTCTAAAGCCTGATGTGACTGACTTCTGTAAAACACAATGCTGTATTTTTGAAATGTGTTACAGAGTATGACTAAATAAATGGGTGCAAATTTTTCTTTAAAATCTATTCATTGTCATTATGCTTGTCTTCATCATCTGGATCCAGTTTATTTTTCTAGTTCCATCTCTCATTCCTTTTACCATGTATCTCATGGTTATCTGTACTTCTTTGAAATGTCTGTTTCTCTCACGTGTACCTGGTGTTGTCCACATATAGCATCTCTGTCTAGAATCACATGTCTTATAATACTTATCTCTTTACCTCAGACGTTGCCTATTGTAGAAGACCTCTCTATGCCTTCAACACCCTTTCTGAGTCAAGTAACTCTCTTTGATCTCTCATGCGTCCTGTGTATGATGTAATAAAAAATTTTCCTTTCTGTATAGTAATAATTGGTTTGCTCTTATGTCTTTCTTGCTAGACTAAAACTTTTAGACAGCAATAGCCAATGCCTATTTGAATCCATAAATAGATGCCTTATAAATGTTTGATAGATAAATGAATGTTTCATTAAAAAAAACTATTGATCAATAAATTGATAAACAAGTAACATTATTATTATTTTCATTTATTTATTTATTTTTGTCTTTGAAAGGGAGTTTCGTTCTTGTTACCCAGACTGGAGAGCATGGCGCAATCTCGGCTCACCGCAACCTCCGCCTCCTGGGATCAGGCAATTCTCCTGCCTCAGCCTCCCGAGTAGCTGGGATTACAGGCACATGCCACCATGCCCAGCTAAGTTTTTGTATTTTTAGTAGAGATGGGGCTTCACCATGTTGACCAGGATGGTCTCGATCTCTTGACCTCATGATCCACCCACCTCGGTCTCCCAAAGTGCTGGGATTACAGGCGTGAGGCACCGCGCCCGACCAGTAACATTATTAATAAAAGTGTTATACTAGATTTGCTATATCTGATGACTACAGCAATCAGTAAACACAGTTTATAGTTTTATCAGTGAAACATAGTTTATAGTTCCAGTGTACAAGCTTACTACTACGCGAATGCAAGCTATTTTAAAAAATAAACCCTTATAGGCCAGGCTTCGTGGCTCAAACCTGTAATTCCAACACTTTGGGAGGCTGAGGTTGGCAGATCGCCTGAGGTCAGGAGTTCAAGACCAGCCTGGCCAACATGGCAAAACCCCATCTCTCCTATCCATACAAAAATTATCCAGGCATAATGGCAGGCGCCTGTAATCCCAGCTACCAGGGAGGCTGAGGCGGGAGAATTGCTTGAACTGGACAGATGGAGGTTGTAGTGAGCCAAGATTATGCCACTGCATTCCGGCCTGAGCAACAGAGTAAGATCTTGTCTCAAAATAAATAAATAAATAAATAAATAAATAAATAAATAAATAAATAAAAAAAATAAATAAACTCTTCCACGGTTCTATTACTTCTGCATCTGGTACATTATATTCAGTATCAGATTGGGTCAGGTCAGTCTAAATCACAGACCTTTCTTCTCATAATTTCAAACAAAGAAATAGGCTTTAATGTAGAAAATTGTTTCAACTAATTTAACTTTATTTAGATTTGTCATCCAAACAGAATGAAAAAGACTTTTGATTGACTTTCAATTGAAACACACACACACACACAAATACATACTTTTCAAAAAAACTGTATGAAAGTATTGTTTCACATTTGCATTAGGAATGGAAGATGCATCAGTATGTTCATGTTTCCTGAGTTAATGTCTGATATTTGTATTTGATGTTGTGCTATTATTCTGTAAAAGAAAATAACACTCAGAACAAAATAATGTTGTCTCTCATTTTTATTTTGATTAATAGTGTTGTATCTCTTGTAATTTGTAGGTGTTATTTGGAAGATGGAGCTTCAAAGGGTGCCTGGCTGAACCGGTCAAGTATTATTTTTGCGGGAGGTGATAAGTGGTCCGTGGATCCTCGAGTTTCAATTTCAACATTGAATAAAAGGGACTACAGCCTCCAGATACAGAATGTAGATGTGACAGATGATGGCCCATACACGTGTTCTGTTCAAACTCAACATACACCCAGAACAATGCAGGTGCATCTAACTGTGCAAGGTATGTATTTTCAGAACTACTATATTGTGAAAGACTATGCTTAGCAATGTTTAATATTTAGGTATCAAAGTGACTAAGAAGCAGTTAACAATGCTGAAATATTTGTTGAAGTAGATTGTCATTGTTTTCAGGGATTTACATTCCTAGATACCAGAAAGTCATTAAGAGTCATAGTGACAGGCCAGGCACAGTGGCTCATGCCTGCAATTCCAGCAATTTGGGAGGCCGAGGCGGGTGGATCACAAGGTCAGGAGTTCGAGACGAGCCTGGCCAAGATGGTGAAACCCTGTCTCTACTAAAAATAGGAAATTTAGGTGAGAGCAGTGGCAGGTGCCTGTAATCCCAGCTACTCGGGAGGCTGAGGCAGGAGAATCACTTGAACCCAGGAGGCGGAGGTTGCAGTGAGCCAAGATCACGCCACTGCAGTCTAGCCTGGGCAATAAAGCAAGACTCCATCTCAAAAAAAAAAAAAAAAAAAAAAAAAAAAGAGTCATACAGACAGAATGAAAAAGTCTTTTGACTGGCTTTGAATTGAAACACACACACATACACATACAAACTTTAAAAAATATATGCAAGTATTGTAGCCACTAAGAAGTGTAATGACTATTAGAGGCATTCAAATCCCCACTTACAAAGATCAAGAAATATCCACTAACACCATATTATGACATTTGTACATGATTCACCTTGTATCTTCCTTTGATTCATCCCTTCAATAAATCTTTGGGAGCCCATGATTGATACGTTAAAATAAATATTTGAAGCTTACTATAGATACCTGAAAATATTAGAACTTTTTGATATATGCATAGTAAGTCTTTAAATGCAGTCCTCCAAGCATTCAAATATTCTGTCTTAATCCAACTTCTGTTTACTTTGATTCAATTCACAATGAAAAGTAGCAGTCTTCTAAGATTTCTTTATTTAAATATAGAATAATTGAGAAAATATGTAAACAATGGTTTATATTTTATTTACTCTCAATAGATCATAAATCATGCTAGCTTTCAATCTCCAGATATAAACAGAATCAACAAATTATTTTATTTATCTTGCATACTAAAATGTAAGAGCATATGTACCCTACAATACAACTGATTTTCAAGAAAAATGCAAGTATTATGCTAGAAGAATGGAACACGTTTATTTTTTGCCCTTTTACATTATTTCCTTGTGTTTTATAGATTAATCGTGTGTTGGTTGTTTGGAAATATGCTCTGTGGAACTGAAAATGATGTTACCATATTTCTAAATAAAATTAATAACAAATTATATGATAATGTGGTGCCAGAGCATGCATATTTTATTCCTAATAGGAAAGTTGAGTAAGCAAGTCAGCTGTACTGTCTCTAAGTTTACCCTTCAATCAGTCAAAGCCAAAAATTAATTTAGGTGCATAGCTTAAGTCTGAAAAAGATTATTAATCTACAACCTTATTAACTGACCTTTTTTCCTTACATAAAGGTAAACTTGAATTCAAACACAGCTTCAGTTGTTAGTACAGTAAATATTTTAAGTTTGTGATAAGGTTAAACTTTTTAATTAAACAATTAACTTTAAGGAGGAAAGCATAACTTGAAAAATAGTTCAGTGGAATTCCTCAATGATTTTTCTTTTCTTTACAGATTATTGCAGACTGTAGAGATGCTCATTATTTAAACGTGATATATAAGAATATAATAATGTTTTCAGAGAAGTCAATCTTTATTCAGAGATTATTCAGGGACTCCAGAGGGTGCGAGTTAGTCCAGCTTCAGAAACTGACATGAGATTATAAGACAAAATGGATTTCTTATGTTATTCAGGCATAATCCTGTTCTCTTGTTCAGTTCTCTGCCCTTTACTTGACACTAAAAGATTTTCATTATGTGAAAAAACTATACATGGACAATAATATGTTTGAGTTACTTAAGATACAGACATTTTGCTTGTACATTTTAAACTAGTAGCTTTAAATCATATTTCTGAAAAATAAATATACTCAATTTTCCTTATTCCATTCTCTCTTGTTCCATATTGGGCCTATATTTTAAATACCCAGACTATGGGTATTTAACACCTACATAGGTACATGCTTAATTCTCATAGGATTTTAAAAATTACTTTATAAAACACAGGTTGTTTAATATTGTTCATATTTTAAAATCTACTACACCCTTACTATAGTACTCTTTTTTGCTGGTCATTAGATGCTAGCAAACTTTTGAGCAGTTAGGAATGTACTTATTGAATATTCCTTCAGTGTAATATTATATTCTTCTAGAAAAAGGAAAAGAAAATCCATGTTACTGTTTTGAAAGCATAAGATTGGACAAAATTAAAAGCTAATAATTTTACAGTATTTATGAATGTAATTACTTATTTTGAGTTGATTGACATGTAGGCGGTTTTCAAATTACATTAATAAAGTTCAGGGAATACATTAATAGGCTTGTCAGTCAACTCAAGTACTAAATAAATGTCATAAAAAGTCAACCCCACGTAAGCTACATTTCTTTTCAATGAACAAAAATAAACTGATGTGTACACCTCTTCAGTCTCTAAATTTGTTTGGTTGTCTGATGCCCAGGGGTATCAGCATAGTTTCGAAGCGTATGCTCTTTGCCTAACAATCTGTCAATCCTTTATTCACCAAGATAAAGAAGCTTAGCAACTGAGGGAAGACTGTATTAATCACTGATGTCAAACATACATTGACGGGTAAAAACAAAGCTCATCTTCAATTGTTGCATGTACTCCAGGGAAATACTTTTTTTAAAAAAATCATTTTGAAAAGGGATAAAAAGGAGATATGTTGTCAACACAGACACTTTGAGAAATTTATTAATGCTATTAATTTCTTAGAGCTATTAATACAAATAAATGGAGTGATGGAGGAGGAAAAACACTAAAATAGGAATAGGAAAACCTGGATTCCAATCTGGTATTGCCCTGCATGAAACAGGCAATTATGAAGTCTCCCTGAACTCTAGCTTTCTCCTTTTAAAAGGGACATAGACAAGAAAATCTTTGAGGTTCACACCAGTCAAGAAAAGACAAGTGATAAAAAAAAAACAAAAGCAAAACAAATTAAAAACAGTAACAAAATGTCGCTTCAGTTGTTTGCTTTGATTTAATAGGAAAAACATATTTAAGTCAAAAATAAAAATATTTTATGACTTTTATTAAGCACCATAAAAACTAATTTTTACATCTAGCTCCAAGTACATTTCATTATTCTTTATATTTTTCTTTATCCAATGGGGCTGAGTAATCTATATACTCATGAAATTTGAAGAATGTGATAATTTGAAGCCTGGCTTTAAAAAGATAGAAACTGGCTAATGGACTTAATATGAAATAAAATTTTTTATTACCTATATATAACATGGTATTGATAAATTAAATTACCTGTTATTCACTGTTTTGAACTATGGGATACAACATTTACTAAGAATACATTTCTTTGTTTATAAGAATAGTGTCTGAGGCTGGAGGACTTGCTATGAAGCAAGAGCTCCCTATTACAATACTGTAAAGATGAGAAACATGAAATATGAGCACTGCCCACTTGAATATATGTCAGGAATTGTGCTATGATTAGAATGTGTCCCCCAAAGTTCATGTGTTGGAAACAATCCTGAAAGGAACAAAGTTTGAGGTGCAGTCCAATAAAAGGTGGTTATTTATTTGTAAGCTCTCTGGGTTAATGTTGTTGTCATGGGATTGGATTAGTTATTGTAAAAATTGGTTTGTTATAAAAGTGAGTTTGGCCCCCTCTTGCTTTCCTGCTCTTGTCTATCTGTTTTCTGCCTTGGGGTGATACAGCACAAAGGCCCTTGGAAGACACTGGCACTATGCTCTTGGACTTCTCAGCCCCCAGAAATGTGAGCCAAACAAATTTCTGTTCATTGTAAATTACTGAATCTGGGATATTCTATATTACAACATAAAATAGACTAAGATATGGTTCATACTTTGAGTTCTCCATAATGTTTAAGGTCTAGGTTGCATGTAGCACAAATTAGACACTCATAGATATTGTGTATTGAACAAACACATATGAAATGTTTACTGTTCAACTCATTCCCTTTCAAGGAAATATACTCTAAGTTTTCTCTGATCAGAGTAGGAGATTTGACTAGCACATAACTGGATAATCAAAATAACTTCTCAAAGGTATGTAACTTCTCCAGGGTATTGTAATTTCCATAGGGTATATAACTCTCCTAGAATATTTGTAGTAGGCGGAGTGCTATACTTCCCTTATCAAGGGTAGGCTTGTTTCTCTAGATACTGGGTTTGCAGTTAGAAGACAACATTCAGGACACTTTTGAAGATAGCCTCAGCTGCAGAGGCTTGCCAAAGTCAAGCCCTGCCTAGGGCAGCCAACACCCATGACTGCTTGAGGCAAGGAGTATTTCCTTTTGGCCCAATGCAGGACAGCTTTGCTGGGCCATTTTAGGTTCAGAGCTCCTCATGGGCAGCTGAGGCTGCTGTCAAGACTCAACTGCAGCTCAACTTCTTACTGTATTCAAACCCATCTCCTTCTTCTTCCATCCCCAGGGACTGACCACAAGGATATTTCCTAATAATCATCCTGCACTCTAAATTCCGTCTCGTCTGAATCAATTTCACAAAGATCCTAAACTATGACATTATCAAACACTTACCTGTTGCTTAGTCATTGTTTTGAGAAAGCTTTTATATAGTGAAAAGACATTCAAACATCATTTATTATTAATGTTCTATTTTGTGTTAAAAAGGATTTGAAGTGGCTTATAGAGAAGTATTCAGAACACCAAGATAGATAGGAGGCAAAAAATAAACAAGAGAAGATTAGGATGCAATCAGAGGTGAGGTTAGATCATAAAATTTGTAATATGATTTCCATATACTTTCAGAGCATGGCAAAAAAATTAGTTCTAAAATTTCTGAAAGCCAATATGTAGAAAGAAACAGAATAATTTATTCATTTCATAGCTCATAGGTTAAAACTTATTTTTCTATGATCCTGT